TTCTCGTGACCCGATGCGACCGCTCAGTGAAAGTTAATCACCAATTATGCGCACAATTGTTAAATTTACAGTTAACTACCTAAGGGACAGTTCTTCTCTGCTTCCATTTCTCGATTTTCATTAAACTAGGCTAACGTATAACATGTTGCTTTTGAGTTGCAGCTAAGCTTTGTGAAGTGTCACCGTGGTTTCAGTTTACCTCAGGCTAGCCCACAGCCTGGGCGTGCGGGGGCGGCGGAGCTCGGTGTTGTTGCTCGAGCGCATGCGAACATCACCTTCCATCAGCACTGGCCACGGTCGCCTTAATGTGTCCAAACCAATCTGGGATATGAATGAATAGTATGCATGCCTCTGACATCATGGAGTTTCCACTGCTGTGCTCGGCTCACCTCAGAGATAGCAGCTTTGATATTTCACACCGCTGGCTCGCTTGCAGGGGTTCCCCACCCACCACCCCTCCTTACCATAGATGGACTCTGGAGAGATGCTGTTTTTGTGGATGGCAGTAATCTTAAAGCTCAAAGGTCAAATATCCAACTGACTGTAAACAAGTTACATATACATATATATTACATATATATATTATAAAAGAGACATATATTTTTGTTTTAAAACAGGCTCTAAATTTGAGTCTGAATCCATGTTGTCGCAGCATTTGAGCATCGGAAAAAAATTCTTTTGAGACTTTTTGTAATCAACAAGGTTTAGATTTACCAGTGCACGTTCCCCTGTAACGGCATTATGTGTAGGTTTGCGATAAATGAGGTGCACACTTGTGTAGAAACCTGTGGAAAATAACAGAACTGTTGCCAGGTGTTAATCATGCTTGTAGTCTGGTTCAGAAATGTTATTCCTGGCACTTTTTTCATGTTTGGAAAGCCAACTGTGTACAAGCAGAGGAATTCAGTGTTATTCCAGTGGATTACCTCTGAGGTTTCCTTTCCTGTGGCGTATCTCCACAGCTGTCCAAGTCACGTGTTATGTTGTTTATTGAATATCAAAGGCTTTGTGAAGTCAAACAGGTGACCTGATACCACCTTGTCTGATAGAAGGAACCACCTCCATGTTTGGGCAACATTTCTCTCAGCGCTGGCAGCTCGTTACTTCCTGTCTTATTTTTAAAAAAAAAAACACAAACTTGTTTGTGTTGGATTACAGTTTATAAATGGATGCAGAAAAGCAAACAGTGGATGCACTTGAAGTAACAAACTGTTTATATATGTCGCAAACAGATGACTGTTGTACGCCACTGTTTGTTTTTGTATTTTGGATGGAATGGCATGAAACATTTTAAGTGCGGGAGGACTCAGATTTTCCATCACACACATGCACACACAGGAGGAGGTGAAATGACACCTCTAACTTTAGTCTCCCAGCCCACCACTCTGAATAATCCAGTTAGGATGTACTCTCTGGCTATCAGGAGGTTTTAGCTGCCTCGCTTCCAGCCAGAGGAAAAACAGACTTCAGGCTCCAGACTGACCTAAACTGGCCTGATGTCCTAAATAAACCTTTGTCACATAAACACACATGCACTCGCTAACCCCACCAACATCCTAAACTACTATTTCTTAACATTTTCAGGCTTGCCACCCACATCAAGAGAGCCATCATACTTTTTTTTTTAAATTAATGATTCTGCAGTAAGAAGGATTTGAATTTGAGATGTTTTGTGAAATAAAGTTCTGCAATGTGTTCTTTTAATATTTGCATTTATTAATATGAGAACCAACAGCCTGAGCTCTAGTTCAAGCCCGTAACTTTAAATGGTTTATTTACAGCCTCCCTACACACGGAATATAATATAGTGGCAGTAATCCAGTCAGATTTCTCTTCTTTGGCTGTGTGTTTGCAGGCAGATCGAAGAGTCTGTGTGTTTGTGTAAAGGTCGGAGGTTGCAGGGGGTACCGGCTGATGTCACGGACCCAAAAAGAAAGTAGTGTTATTAATGACAGCCTGGTAACTATAAATGTCGTGACAACCCCTAGGAATGAGCTGTCATGTGACACCCCATCTTTGGAGCCAAGTGCATGGAAAAAGAAAACATGCACACGAGTGCGCGCACACACACAGCTTTGCCTTTGGGGAGACCCCTTTGGAAACAATGTCTGGCTTGCTTGAGGATTTGAGAGGGTGAGCAGAAGTGATTTGATCTACTCAGTAAAACACCAAATGCGGGCATGAAGTGAGGCTTTGTTTTTACTGCATAGTTATTGTGAAATTAGCCATAATGTTTCCCAAATGTTGAAGCCACTTTTGTTTGTGCCTTCTCCGGCTATGTTTTTTATCAGGTTGCTTTTCTTTATGTAGTCTGTTTTACAAAGTTGTTGCCTGTTGCTCTTGGCAGAGGCAAAGGGAGATTAAACTTATCTAAAATAACCTGTTGAGGCTGCGTAATTCAACTCTGGCACCTCCTCTCATATTCCAGTCATCCATAAAGAAAGTGTTCAACTATTTGACTCTGACCAGCGGCGTTGACATATTTTCCTCCCTCGTCCTGAAGCCAACTTCTCGGGGAGAGCCATCAGGGACTACATGGTTCCAGCTCTCTGATATCTGGAACACACACTCTCACGTCTTTCCCTGTGAATGCACACTGATCACAGGTCAGGTCTTTGGCAGTAGTTTCCAATCAGGGGTGCAAGTACTTCAGGGCTACTAAGGCAGTAGTCAGGCAGCAAGAATAGCTCAACTGGTAGAATGAATTTATTATTAGTACTGAGAAAACTGACTAAAACAGAACAAGCCTTGCAAGAACAAGCTTCTGGACTTTCACTGGGCCACTGATTATTTTCTTTTTTTGCCATTCTGTTGTAGATTTGCTCCTGTGCTTGGAATCATTGTCCTGTTGCATGACCCAGTTTTGACCGAGCTGTCCAAGCTGTCAGACAGACAGCGTCACATTAGACTCTAGAATACTTTGGTATACAGAGGACTTTATGGGCAACAACTCAATGATTTCAAGGTGCAGTGGCTGCAAATTGTCACCCCTCCACCACTTGGTTTTAGGCGTTTGTGCTGAAATGCTTGTGCTCCACTTTGGTCCAAAGGTCATTGTTCCAGAAGTCTTGTGGTTTTGTTCAGACCCAACTCTGTAAACCTGTCTTGTTCTTTTTAGACAGAAGAGGCTTTCTACCCAGGACCCTTCCAAACAAGCCATATTTGTTCAGTCTTCTAATTGTGTTGTTACAAATGTTAACATGCTAACTGAGAGCTGCACGGAGTGAGATGTAGCTTTTGTTTTCTCAGTTTCTCTGAACATTTCACGATCTGACCTTGGGACGAATTTGGTGGGACGTCCTCTCCTGGGAACACTCGCAGCTGTCTTGAATGTTTCCCACTTGAGAATAGTGTTTCTCACTTTATAACCCTTCCCATATTGATGGGCAGCAACAGTTGCTACTCCAAGTTTATTGCTGACGTCTTTCATCCTTGGCATTGTGTTAACACTTACCTGAGTGCAGCCGGTGCTTTCACAGGCTGATGGACAATTAACCAAGTACCCACTTAATTCCTGTGGAAGCAGTAATGATGTAATTATTTTTTCACCCATTGCTTCGGCGTTAAACAAATAATGCCATGATGTAACATGTCATGTGATTTTGTTGCTGAAATTTTATTTACCTAATTTTAGGGCCTACTTATGTCCTGATATTCAAAACCTAAATTGAAAGAGCGTGGACTTTATTACTAAGCAGCAGGACAAGTCTTCTGTTAAAACTTTTAACTAATCACAACTGAATCATAGTAAGCTGAAAGTTGTCCAAACCCAAACATTTGATCATTTTTTTAGTCCATCTTACAGCGCTGAGGGGGACATGAGATGAAAAAGTTTGGGTACTGCTGATTTATATGAGTTTAGCACTTTATTTGGTGCAGGAATTTTCTTTCATTCCTGGGATTTAATGTAATTCAGTATAATATTCTTGCTATTTCAATTCTGACTTTATTGCCTTGTGTTTCACATCTTCTGTCTTCATGTTGTTTGTGGCTGTCAGTGTGTGAAAATGAATTCCAGCTACAAATATACAACATCTGCACATGTACTGCGCACATACACACCGAAATAAATGGCAAATGTGTTTTTAGTGTGAGGCTGCAGACGCTTGCACACACACTCAGACACACATGGGGTTTTTTCAGGCTGGTAATTAGTAGAAGCAGTAAGGTGATAACAAGCGCCAGCCACACGTTTGCAACCGAGGTGTCGATGCCAACATGCTGCTGGATATCACAGCCCCGCACTTTATCACACTTTCCTCCCTCCCCGGACGGATAACTCTTAAATACAGATGCAAGCTCATGCGTGCTTTAAAAAGAGCAAGAAAATATGATCATGCTTCACACAACACACATCTTCAGCTTTACAGCAAACAGAACATGTGCATCAACATGGTGTATGTCCCCCACAAGTCCTCCTCCTACTCTTTTCTTTCCCTCCTTTCCTATCATCTCCACCCACTGCTGCTCCTCCAACTGCATGATTTGAGTCATATGATTCAAAAAGGTGAGAATCTACATTCAGCAGATTATTTTCATCTTGTTACCCTTGCATTTCTTTTGTCCTCTTTATTTGAATGCTCGGGTTTCGTGCACGTGGTGCTTGGTGACAAAGTTGAAACCTTGTAGCTGGCGATGATCTCATGAGTCTGACATCACTTCAGCATAAGCTGCACCCTCTGAACGCACATTTACATGACCACCTTGAAGTGTGAGGTTTCATACTAAATAAGTTTGATCAAACGGAGACTTTGTGTGTGTCTCTTGTGCGGTGCCTTGGAAGGCTTTATGTAATTACATTATGCTATAGTGATCATGTGATTGTACAACTGCAACTTGAAAAATATATGGGTCATTTGAAACATCGGATTCAGACTTATCCTTTTATGTTCCCTTCTCCCCCGTGCCATCATCTCTCCCCTCTTGACCTTTCATCTCTTGTATGTGTCTTGCACTTTTCACCTGGCACTGGCTCACTTCGTTTTATTTCTCTTCCACAGGTTGCGGAAACAGCAGTATGAGCAGTGACATGTACAGCGCTGGCTATCATACTATCGCCAACATAGATTATTCATCTGTGTGCATCAGGACAATGAGCGCCAGGTACAGTCACTGCCCAGGTATGACATGGCATCAGATGGACGTGCGTCAGCTCTCCTTCCCGGATTCCTCCTTTGATGTCATACTAGAGAAGGCCACCCTGGATGCCATCATGGTGAATGAGAAAACGCCTTGGGAGGTTTCATCTCAAACTGCTTGTTCCATTCACCAAGCACTCACAGAGGTATTTTTGAAAAACTTTTCTTTCCAGAGGTTTGATATTTTGTGGTTGAGGTTCTCTTGTTACGTCGGATTACTGCTTTCTGTTTGTGGGAACCTGAGAGTTTTTGTGAAAGCACACTTGTTTTCCCACCTGGTGCCTACTGAGAACTCACTACCACTCACCACTGCAGCACTAGTTTATGGTACAGTCCAACCATCACGTGGTAATTTGCTTTCAGTTACAGCAGGGTTTTTTTCAAACTTTAGAAAACATGATAACAGGAACAAAGCAAGGATCTGTAAATGAAAACCATCAACATACTCAGATTTTTCAGATCATTTACAGATTTATTTACAGTTGTAAACAATAACCCATCAGCAGTAAAAGGCTGATGGGTTATCGTTGTCACCCTGTTGGGTGGGTGGGTGGGTGGCGTAGACACCCAAGTTTTTGAATATGACAACAAAGTAGGCGCAGTAGGATTTTCAAATTCATCCCGTTGAATCTCGGTGACCTCAACCTCAAGGTAAAAGGTCAAGCTTTGTGAACACAACAACATGAGAACAAGGCAATGTATGATTTCCAAATTCATTACATGATTGCAGCTACTAGTAGGCTGAGGGGTAGCACTGCTGATAGTATTGTTTTCGGTAGTATTATATTTTATGGCTCCAGAGGTGGAGCAGGATGGAGCAGGTCATTGACTAATTGAAAAGTTGGATATTTTTGTTCCTTCACTGCTCCATTCTGCATGCCAAAGTATCCTTGGGCCAGATACTGAACCCCGAGTTGCTCCTGATATATTCACTAGAGTGTGAATGTGTGTGATAGAAAGCACCTGAATGCAGAAAACAATAAAATTACAACAAAGTTTTATATAAGAACCAGTTAATTTACCATTATTCCACAAGTTGCTTATTAACAAACCAAATTAGTACCAAGGAAGAATTACATGAACAAAATCTAACAATCTAACTGCGAAAGGTGAACATTTCAACAAACCTTTTGAAATTCTTTTATTTTTTCCATTATGAGGAATCATTGTTTCTGTGTGGCTCTGTAGTGTAGTCAGTTACACATTTGCTTGGTAAGCAAAAGGTCACTGGTGCAATTCAAACCAGAGACGCAAAAGTCAGGAAGGACATCCTGGTTTAAAACTGCCAAATCAGACACATGGAGCTACCCACAGTGGTAATCAATTGTGACAAGGAAGCAGCATTCATTCATTCATTCATTCATTCATTCATTCATTCGAAATATCGTGGTTTCAGAAAAATCATCAATTTGAAACAATGTTTGTTTTCTGTAAGTTAATTAAGGTCAAAATATTATCATTAGTAGTATTAATGTTGATATTTGTAGCTGATGCGTGGCAAAGTTAAAAAATCAAACGTAAATACGTCTAAACTGTATATTTGTCCGTTTTTACAGAGCTGTCCTTTGCCTGTTTTGCAGGCCACTAGTGTCGCTACACACCTATGACGGTTTGAGAGCTGTTTTACGGCGAGCAGCAGTGCGGTTTATTTGTAAATGACTTTCTGACAGTGAAATTAGTGGCACTTTACATTTCCACTCCACAGCCCATCAGCGTAGTGGCAAGAAGCTGAGTGCCCTTCAGCTGCTCGCCTCAGCACTAACTGCCACTGTGTCAATGTGACAATGACAATGTTTTGGTCATTTGCTGTGCTTGACCTTCGCATATTAAGACAAGAGAGCTCCACTATTAACTGAAACTTGTGATTTCTGAATGGGGAAGAATTACTCATGATGTACTTACTGAACATTTGAAGAACGGCTAAGTAAGGTATAATTCAAAATTTAGGTCAAAATTACAGGTGTATAGAGTCTTACGTCTAACACACAGCCTATAATTACAGTAAATGTTACAGTGGAAAAGGTCACAGAGTGTGACTCATTTTAATGGAAGCAGCTTGAGAGCAAAAGTGATGTTAATGCAGATTTGAAACATTTGCATTTCTTGTGCAAAACTTTAAAATTACACACAAATCAACAATTTATAAATGAATGTATTATGAAGCTTTTCAGGTGACTATTACCATTAATATTTGCAGTAAATATCAGGGTCATACGTAGGCTGCTGATTTGAATTAAGCAACAATAAACGATAACTATTTTGACCGACACAAGTCATGTAGATTTACGTTTTGTAAACTATGATTATTTTACTGGACATAAATCAAATATCTAAGATTAAATGTAAACTCAAGAGTGACTGTGTGAATATTAAAAAACCAAGTGAGACAACATGGACGCAGGTGACCTCATCACACAGCCACAACCCTTCATGCTCGCTGTTATACCTCCTGAACGATAGCTGCAGCTGCTCAGACAATGCCTCCACATTGCACTGGTGCAAAAGGTGAAAGCGTCAAAACCAAAAGCAAAGAAATTGCTTTTTTCCCTGAGATATCATTAAAATAGCTGTAAAAACCAACATAGTTGAACAATCATGTCTTCCACTCTGTTCCAACGGCGACACACCGGGTTTACAAAACTCGAGAGGTGCACAGCATCCAATAATGGCCGTTTGCATCAGTGATGCTCTACTGTAAAACAATTCTAACTCCAAAAGTAGCCAAACATTCGAGAGCTTTGCCATGTTGTGTTATGTGATTACTTGCAGCCCGAGTTACAATATGTGCTTAAATGAATTCATTTGAACTTGAAGTTTTTCTCCTAATTATCCATCCTAATAGTTACAGCAACAAGTGAGTGAAGTGCTTTAAATAATACACCAAGAAGAAATGTTATTAGATTAGAAGTATTTAAATGTCAGTTTTCTCAAGTTATCCCAATTTTTAATGCTTAAAGCTTAACCGAGGACAACCCTGACTTGTGAAGTAAACAAGGATATAGACAGTGCTGTCTGTGGGCCCAGTTTGTAAGGACGGTGTCTTGGGTGTTTTCCTCTAACAGAAGGAAGTATTAAAGAAGGATCAGTGAGTGTGATTGGTGGACAGATGGGAGGATTTGAATTCCCTTCTAGAGGAGTGAAGCTGAACTCATGAAGACGCCTGTTTAAAAGCCATTTCAATAAGAAGCTCAAGTTCCCAAGCACCCTTTCCGCTTTAATTTTTCTCAGCTGCCTCATGCTCATGGCTATCCCTCTGCTTCATGTTGGTTTACATGTATCTTTATGAACTTCTCTGTGATCAGAAGTACACAGCAGTGTTTTTGTCTTCAGCACTAGTGTACGTTTGCCGTCTCACTCTGGCTTTTATGGGCACAGACAGTCACGATTCTTGTTTATGTGTGAGCGTGTGTTTAGCAGGAATGTGGGTGGCGGCTTCAGAGCCTACTTTCAATTCTTACAGAAAGCATTTTCACAAAGTGGAAAAAGGGGACAGACGGAGGGAGACGCGAGCGAGAAAGAAAGGTGAGAAAGAAAAGAAGGAAGGTGAGAAAATGGCGAGCATAGGAGAGAGCGATGAAAATGAAGGAGATCCCTGAAGAAACTTTTGTTGAAATCACAGAAGAAAAGAAGAATTGGTGGTGGGGAGGGTGGGGGGAGTGGATGACAGCAGAGGAGAAAGGAATTGAGAGAGGGAGAAAAAGAGAAGGAGTGGGAGACAGAAACCAGGACTGACAGAAAGCTAATGAGCAGTGCGCCAGTGTGAGACGGATGAGAAGAAGGTAGCAAAGGAGAGGGAGAAGCTGAGGGGAGGGGAGGAAGAACAGTGCAGAACACTTTAATCTAAAGCCTGCTTTGAAAGAGATTCCCAAAGATTAATCGTGTTGAGTTAAAAAATAAAGAAATATACCAGAGAAAATTGGCGAATCTTGTCACTTTACACAAGCGGATTGTTATTTCTCATTAGTATGAGAACAGATCGTATAAACACAAGGCTGAGTGTACAAAAGTTGAGGCAAAGTGCATATTTTGTTAATTATTTCAATAGTTTCTGTGTAACATCCAGAAAACTGGTCATGGACAGCCATCAGCCTCGTCGTGTGTGTGCTTGCACTTTGCGTGACAGCAAGCCCTGGCCAAACATTGATAAGCCAGACACAAGACTGTGCGACACGGAGTTATTAAATTCAGTTTTATTTACATTTTATCTACGAAATCACAACAAAAGTTGCCTCAATGTGCTTTATATTGTAATTTGAAGACCCTACAGTAATACAAATAAAAATGGGACCTCCTTCGAGCAAGAGCTTTGGCGACAGTGGGAAGGAAAAACTCCTTTTTAACAGGAAGAAAACTCAGTGAGAAGGAGGCTCAGGGAGGGGTGGCCATCTGCCGTGACCAGTCAGGGGTGAGAGAAGTAAGTTTGGCGCTGTTAACTCACTGGCCAGCTTAGATAAATTTTTAGCTACTCATCGTAGTAAATAGCTGGTTAGCCCAAATCTGCTTCTTACTCAGTGTTGACACTGAGAAAGAGTCCTGCTTAAAGCATGTGCATGACTTTATATTTTTAGTAATTAATGCACTCAATTTCTAAGCAGTGCTATTTAGTTCTGCTTAGAGGTCCGTTACACTCACTGTATTGGTTGTTTCATGCAAACAGTGGCATCTCAACAGCTCTGTACTGTTCATACCAGGGCTCAGTACTCGCTATTGTCCTAAATAAAAGATGTCGCCACTTAGATAAAACTTCCATATCACCAGAAGCAAAACTATCATATATTTCTTTCAAAGTTCTTTCCAGAAAGCCTCATCTTTTCAGTCTATATGATCTCTGAATCTCTGAACTTCTCTGCAGTTATCATTAAAATGGCAGTAAAAACTGACATGATCGTACGCTCATGTAATTGACTTGGCTGTGGGGGCAGCAGCAGCAACAGCACCCTGTGTGACGTTATAAGCCAAAAACAACATGAAAGCGTATTGTAGCTTGCACCAGGGGATTTGATGTCGGTTTTGAAGTGCAGTGTGAGTATAGTGGGGCCATTGTTATTGGCGTTAAAGGAAGACAAAGAAGAGGTTTAGCTGCAAGTGCATGTTGGTGAGCATGAAGATCACATCCTTTGGATTTTCATGGAAAATTTGTCCCAAA